TTTCGTCCATATGGTTGAGTGCAAATAAATAGGGAAATAATCTTTAATGGGTGTAGAATTAGAGGACTTTAGAGTGACAGACTAAAGCCCCCTAATTGGGTCTATTATTTTAGGTTTTGATGTGAGATGTTAGCTTTCAGGTGGAGGGATAAGAGGGAACTCTAGAGTGAGAGCCAGTACTTTCCCTGCCTAGCCCGTCTTCAGAACTATTCAAACTTTAGATTAACTAATATTCGTTATAACATCTCTAGTAAGAGTAAAGAATATAATTGGTCCTATTTGTCATAATCTCTCTCACTACTTGTTTTACTTTAACACATGTCACTAATTTCATTGCATGAAGAAGAGTGCTTTTAATATATTAAACCCCACTTTCTGATTTTCACTAAGTATTTAAGTTTAAGAGTAGAAGTAATATTGTAGTGATAGTTGTAGGATATAATCAAAGCCAAACTTTTATCTACCTTCAAAGCTAGGGAATGTTATTCTAGACTAGAACTTCTCTTGAAAGCCGCTGTGATTAACATCGATCTCCATGGGATCGATATTCGGGGCTTAATCAGAAAGCCCTATATTACTTGATAATAATACGTATACTTGCGAATACGTATACTTGTACGTATACTTGCGTAGAATCCCTAGAAATATAATTGAAATCTTACTTTGCTTGGGATCAAGTTTACGGTGTCGTTACCGAAGATTAAAATCTTCAAGTATGGTGTCAACTTCTTAAATTCTACATATAAAAAAGAATATCAGGATCAATGCTAACCATATAGTGGTAGTAGAGGCACAGGTATGCATTTGCGATTTTATTTTTTTACTTTACAACATTTTCCACCTGCATTTATTTACTTTACATGCAAAACTAAACCAAAATTGAAAAATAAAAAACATATTTTCAAAATTAAGTTTACATTTTCAATACAATAAATAACATATTACGTTCTTTTGAATTTACGGGAGTCCCTTAATTAAGTTCCCTTGAATGAGGTAACCTATGGTTGCTAATGAGATCTCTCCAATTTAAATAATCTTAATGACTAATTTAGACTATGTAAATTCAAGAGAAATTAGTGGTATCAGAATGAGGAAATCATGGAATCCTAATCGGTGTCGCTCTAATCAACTTTAACCCCCCCCCCCCCACACACTCTAAAACAACAACAATAAAAAAACTTGTCGCTTAAACTGTAAACCCTTAAACCTTGAACATGGAGCTCTCACTTCAATGAGAAGCTTGAAGCTAATTCTGTGGGCAGCATGACAAAAAAGTATAGCAGAACAACTTTGAAATAGCAAACGGATCTACAATAGCAAATTTTTCTTAGAATTAAATAACAAGTCATACGACTTTGAGGTAGCCCGTCTAGTATGTCATAAATCCTCAACTCAACTTTGGGCTTTCGTACAACCATTTTGTGTAATTTAATCCCTAACTCGCTTTAGGCTCCGAGGTTGTCGTTCGTTACAACAAAAACCCTCCTATCTTTTAGGCTATTTGTATGATTATGTCATGCAAGTGTAAGCCCTAAATTATAATAATTGGCAGGATGAAACATCTAATAATAAATTCTTGAAATTGAAGCCAAACCATAAGATAGTTGAGAAGTCACTGGGTTCTCCTCGGGTTTGTGACATTTCCTAACTTTCATTCCTTTGACATATAGAAATAACTGTTACTATTTTGAGCCACTCTCATTTACTTTTTCCCATGTCTAACCTTGAATGTCTTAAACTTTAAAATTATTGAAGATAATATTTTCTGATATAAATCGAGAGTTTTCTTTGGTGACTTCGGTCATTTATGCTGTAATTAACTATAAGGGCTTACCTTTATAGAAATTTTTAGAACCCAACTTAATATAAACATACCTAATCTTTCATATTAACAAGGAGAAATTTGTTGGTCAACATAATGGTTTCACAAATCAAATCGGATGTCATAAATTTCTTAGTTTATTTAATCGAGCCTCATTAGCAAGTGATGTCTATTCCTTGGGATAGATGCATCATTTCTGGTGTTATGTTTGTTTATTTAAACTACATATATGGGATCAATTTGGTTTCATATTTTCCAAAACTAAAACGTTATTTTTCAAAAGTCACATATATATTAAATTAAATATAGTTTCCCATGTTGGCGACTGACATACTATTAAATTTATAAACTGGATTTTTGCATGTACTTTGGATGTTCAATTTATCTTATTATAAAAATATTTAAAATGTTATTTTTCCTCTTTTATTGGTTTAAGGCAAGGTTGTTATTTATCACATTATATTGCTGTTATAACTATGAACTCTTTTCTCTTCTGATTGATAATCATTTGGTTAGAAATTATTATATTAATTATTTGATCTATGATGATGATATTCTTATTTTTAGTAAAGTTGACTCTATTCATATCAATTTTATTATTAATGCTCTTAGTAATTTCTCTAAGGCTTATAATCTTCATATAAACATTTCCAAATCAGGCATTATTTTTTCTAATAGTGCGGATGCTAATCTTCAAAATAGGCCGCACTAATTTATCAGGCTTTTCAATAAAACCTGTCTTAGAATTACCTAGGTGGCACCATTAAACTGTCTAAGGTTGTTATTTTTTATTGTCATAAATTGATTGATATAATTATTTATTGGCTTCATTGTTGGAAAAGAAGATTATTATCAGTTGCAGATAAATTTTAACTTATAAAATTATTATTTTAATTTTTTTTTAATATTGGTATCATTCTTCCATATTACTTAAAGGCTTGAGGAAGAAATACTCTTCTTTAATTTCTAAATTTTTTTCGTAACATTGATGATTAAAAGAAACTTCATATCATTTCATGGATGCCTCCCTGCTCTTGATTCTATTCACTTGATGTCTAAAATAAAAAATAATCTATAAATATTATAATTTTCAGTCTTATTTGAGTAATTTGCTCTTTAGTCATTATGGATCTTTGTGGCAGAAGGTTACTTCCATGTCTTCTTCTTTTAGGAAAACGAACATGTTAGAATTGCCTATAAATTCAAAAATGCTTTAATTTTTCATGTTATTAATAATTGCAATATGACTTTTTTTTTTATCCTTGGTTAGAAGGTGTTTTTCTTTTAGAGAAATTTGGTGATTTAATCTTTAACTAGTTTAATTTTCATCTCAGTTTTAAAGATATTGTTCACAATAATTCTTAGAATTTGCCTCAAAATCATCAAGCTCCTAGTTATTATAGTGTTGCTATTAGTAGAATTCATATTTTGAATGATCTTATTTGTGCTTGGAATAAGGTTGCTACCTATTTTGATACAGAAATTTGTTTTTCTTTTAATGTCTCATGCCCTCATGTTAATTGGATTAAGTTAGTTTAGTTTAAAGATTTTTCCTTAAAATATCATAACATACTTAGGAGTTATTATTAAAAGACTTACCACTTATGATGTTCTATCTTTAAGCTTTATGCATATCAATCTTACTTGTATTTTATGTTTGAATGATCTTGAATCTCATGATCATCATTTTTTTAAACGTCTTTATTCTCGTATTCTCAAAAGGAGTGTACATAATGGTAATTCTCTTAATACTCCTACCAATATTCTTCAAGTTATTCATCAGACTAATAGTTTGTTTTACAAAATTTCTGTGTTTTTATCTTTTAGCTTTGCAAGTGGTTGTCTATGTGATTTGGTATGAGGGGAACGTTAGAATTTTTATGAGTCACCACATTTATATTGATTCTAATATTTGTCATGTCTAGTTGCTGATCTCTTGCAAGATTGAAAAATGGAAATTCAGAAATTTAATTTATGCTTATATTTTTCACTTCTATAAACTTTAATTTTCTTACTGGTTGTTGATCTTCTGGAGTACTTTTGGTTTTCTTTAGATGCATGGTCCCTTGAGCTTTCTGTTATTTCAATTGTAGATTTGGGTTTCCCTTTTTTATCAAAGATTTATTATTTCTTTTGTAGTGATTTATTCATTCTGTTATATTCTGTGTTGCTAGTTTTTTGTTTGAGTTTTGGTTATTTGTTAGCTGCATGGTTTGTTTTCATTTTTCTGGGTTGTTGCTTGTCTTTTGATACTTGGTTTGTTGGTTTTGAGTTGGCCTTTGTCGTGTTTCTTCTTCTACTGCCAGATCTTAACAGATGTTGTGATTGATATTGATTTTGTTTTATTGTTTGATCTTTATTAGATTTTGTGATTAGTGCTTGATTATTCTTTTGCCTGATCTTAGCTAGATGTTGTGGTTGTTTTAGATCTATGATGAATTTCAGTCTTTATTAAAATTCAACAATGTGTTGAAAATATTCTTATATATTTACTATTGTAAAATGAAATTTTAATACTTTAATGAAGGTAAGTTCTGAGATATGGTGTTTTATTATTTAATTCCACTTTGCTCTTTCTTTTATTTGTGTTCATTATTTTTCTCTTTATATTTTGATTATTTTTTTTTCTATTATCCTTCTTTATTTTATTTGCAGGGCTTCTGGTCCCTCGTAGACTTTTTCTTGGGGATGATTGCGATTTGAAGTAATGTTATGGTTTTGCTTGCTTTTTTTGCTTTGCTATGTGTTATTAAATTTTTATTTTTTGATCTTTTTTTGAATTTTTATTGTTGTGTGAGTTATAATTTGTAATCTCATTTGTAACTCTTTTTTTTCTTTTGAATAAAATTATGAGTGACCCTCATATTTTCTCAAAAAAAGAAATAAATAAGGACAATAAAAAAATAAATAATTTCTGATATATCTTATTTACGTCTTACCTTTTTTATTTGCCATCTCAATGTCATCCCTTTCAAAATTTTTACCGTTAAATTGCTAAGAACCTTTTTACGGCTTAAATATATTCGATTAATATTTAATATTTGATGTCCACCACATTCCTTACAAATAATATAAAAAATTTCAAATAGTTGGATTCGACAATCATCCCCCACCCCAAAAAAAAGAAAAAAAAAAAACGACCTTTACCCTACTTTTTTCCCGATTTCACTCCTTGTGAGCTGTAGAGGTCCAGAACGCAGAAGGCTCTAGAAGCCACCGTCCAAAAATGGAGGATTTAATGCGCGAAAAGTAACTTGCGAAATTCAAGATTGACAGAGCCATGGGAAAATATCTTCAGGTCACCATTACAAACGTCTCAGTCCACCGTAACTTCACCGATCACCGCTCGAAACTATTGACTGGTCGATTCGTGGCCGGGCCACCAATCTTCATTCTGATGGCGACAATGAAAAGCCTGATATGTCCCCCCTTTTCATTCCGAGAAATTGGTAATTTCACTATAATACCCAATCATTGCTTTGCGATCCTCGTTAATAATCTGCCAGAGTTGTCTCCTTACCGTGAATCCATTTTTAAGTGGCTAGCCATGGATGAGTTGGTGATGGTGAAAGAAGAAGCAGAGGTAACCGATGATCGGCCGCATCCTATTGCAGGGCTGAACGATATGGGACCTCCACCGTTCTTGGTGAAGATATTTGAGATGGTAGAGGATCCAGAGACGGATACTATGGTTTCATGGAGCACTGCTGAGAATAGTCTTATCGTATGGGATTCTGGCAAGTTTTCAACAACACTTCTGCCCAAATACTTCAAGCACAGCAACTTCTCCAGCTTCATTCGACAGCTGAACACTTATGTAAGATTCTCCATCTTGCATTTGTTTTTTATTTCTCTGCGTAATTGACACTGGTTAGTTTTTATTAGTCCTCCTAGATTGTTAGACAAAAAGCGTGACAAGTTTATGACCTGTAAATAAAAGATTGTAAAACTAAGCGCAAAATAGATGGTAGGTGAGGAACTGGCATTACAGTTTATGACCAGTAAGCTTGGAGCTTATAATATTTCTCGCCTAAAGATTAATAATATGTTTTGGCTCGTTTTATCTTTTGATTCCACGATGGTATTTTATTTCTTAATTCAAAGTTTAGTATTAAGGACAATTATGTACTCAGATATTGTTCTTGAAAATTTTGCGGTTTTAAAGGTGGCATTAATATGTAGCTTTTTGAGATACTAGTTTACTATATATTTCTTTTGGGTGCTGGATGGTAGGTATATTTTAAGTTCTTCAAAAGAAGCTTGAATTGTTACTGTTCCTTATGTTTGATTATTTCTTTTATCAGCTCTGTGATATATTTTTTTTCCCCTTCCTTGTTGTTATTGTTGTTGTTCATTGAAATATAACTGATTTTTTGATCTTAAAGTCTTATCACATGTGATTTGCAAGTAATTGCGATCCTCAAAACCTTCCCGAACCAACTATAATCCTCACATGCATGAGTTAATTGCTCTATGATCCATATATTTGGTGGCATTTCAACTTCCTCCTCAACGGCATTTCTATTCATTTCTGAAATGATATTTGATGAAAGACTAAAATGTAGGTGATCTATTAGCGTAAGGATATGTTTGAGGTGGCTGCTACTTTTTCAATAAGCTGCTTCTGAAGAAACATATTTTTATGAGCTGTCAGAAAACTACTGTTGAAGAAGCAGACGTTTGTTTGATAGATCTCTTGTGCTGCTGCTATTATGATGAAAAAGTCTGTTTTGCCCATAGTTATATAATAAATTGAAATAAATGCAGTTTTCAGAATATTATAACTAAATAGCAGAAAAAGGTTATATTGCTTAAAAACTAACAGCCTAATCCAAAAAACTCTAATACATAAAAAAATTAAATATTTGAAATAAATGACTACAATAGTGAGGACAATAACAGTAATTAACATGCCTAGAATGATGATTGCCTTGAAATCCTGATGATCAAGTGTTCGAGAACATGCCTAGAACAATCTCTTTTACATCTTCGCATCTCTCTTCTACTTATCACGATCTGGAGGTATCTCATCAATGTCATCAACACAACGGAAGTAGTCGAAATATCCAGAAGTCATGTTTTTAGGATAAGAATAAAATCTTCTCCCGTAGCTGCCTTCCCTCTTAGACTGGTACTGAACACACCTATTGCCACAATAACAGAGTGAAACTTTTCAAGTGTTTGATGATCTTGAACTCATATTTTCTGTTTATATAATACAATGTTATTCTAATTAAAAAATTAAGTTGAAATAACATTCAAGAAATTCTAAAAAAACATAAACAACCTTAAAATTAAGAATTAAAGTTTATTGGTGAGCAAAAAAGAATGATACAACATAGGTTGCTTAATATATTTTAATAAAATACATTTAGAGAAAAAACATAAAAATGAAATATAAATCATCAACTAGTAATAATTAGGTGATGCTACATATGTAAGGTCGTTGCATTCACCAAATCATTAGTAATCTCCTCTCTCAACTACAAAATTTCTCGATGCAATCTCTCTTAGAAGTGCTGTTCTCATTCGTCCTGCATTCCTCTTCTTGCATTGAAGGTTCTGTTTGATGTTGGTTAGCTTCCTCGATCATGTAGGTATGATCATCATCTAAGACCCTGAAATCGATAATCATCTTGAGATGGGTGCCTTTATATAAAATTAGGGAGCGAAGTCGTCGCAACAACTATTTTCACCTATTTTTTTAAACTATATATAGATATATCGCGGAGTATGACCCACTTCTTCTTTTATACACCAAATGTTCGTTTGATGACACTTCTTATTGATTAGTGTATTTTGTTGAAGAGCTCATTTCTCCTTCTAATCACTTGGCTATTGTTCTCAAAGTAAAGGGGGTGATTTCTCGTGTTGGAAAGTGGCTTCAAAAAGTTCCATTACAGTGGATATCCATAATCGACAAGAATGAAAACATTAGTGGATTGGTTCAAATGGAAATATAGTAGTGATGGATTAGTTAAATGCACCAACCTTACGAAGGCATGAGAAATTTGTATTTAGGACACTGGGTTGCAAGTTTAAATATTTTTGTATAGTGTGCACTCCCTTCTAACTAGCCATCACGAATGAAAAATACATGTTGAAATCACATACTGCTAATATTCTATGTAGCAACTCAACAACTACCGATATAGGTAATCTTTTTCTCATTCCTCACGCGTGCGTCAACATGCGTTCCATCAATTGCTTCGATGCAGTTTTTATTATAAAAAAATGAGAAAATATAAGCTATTTATAAATTTTCTTTAATTTATTAAAGTACGAATAAAGAGTAAGATCAATACCTAAAAAAATGACATATTCCTCAGAACGCTAGAAATTTTATGAGATGTTTTGAGCAAAAGATGGGTCTAATGATTTCACGATGTTCGTAATCATTTTAAACCAAAGAGTTAACCCCAACGTGGAAATGCCTGTTGATCATCTCTGTAGAGTTTTGGAATCACTCAGAAGCAACATAAATGAACTCATTGTGTGGCATAATAAAGAGTGTGATAATTAAGACTTCTTAAGATGCAAATCACAAAGATCCATGCAAATTATATTAGAATTGCTATTCATCTAATAAATCACATAAAATAGCTTTTGACTTCCAGAACATACTATAAATCCAACATGGATGAGCTTCCATTTGTTCACCAAATTATTTGTCACCCACTAATGATGATGAGACACAATGTGTCTTACAAATGTCTCTGACAGTACTCATGAATCAGACAAATTATATTGATAATGATTGTCACTTGCTCAACTATCTCTGTGATCTTTTTTTTTTTTTTGCTATTCTATTTGTTTAAAAGAATAATGTTAAGCTTATTTCAAAAAATATTTTATTGTCAATGCAAGTAAAAGCTTAACCTACGCGCAAGTAGTTTAACTTTGGAAATACACAAATAATGAAATGTCTGAAATAGTACCCACATGCCATAGTTTATAATATAAATGTCAAATACCATAAATAGTTACTCTGCTATAGTAGCAATGAGTTAAAAAAAAATGTGCACATCATCTAACTAGTCTGACTCACTAAAATATAATGGAGGTAAGGAATCCTTCATTCAGGGAGCAACTTGAAGACGACCTCTCACTTGTTTCTATCATCTAGAAGTTTTACGGTAAGTATGTAGAGAAGCATGTCATCAAAATTTCTAGGATTGAGTCGAGTAGCTTGAAAACATCTGTAATTGTTGGGCATGCATGGAGCGAAGTGAGGGCACTTGAAGTAATATTGGTGCAACTTCTCACCAACTTTGTTATCGACTGAGATAAATGAGCTACCCCAATTTTTATTTTCTTATTCTTTTTTTGTGTCGAGGGTTCAAGTTGCTTGGAGTGACTAAACTCCCCTTGATCTTTTTCATTTAGGTGTTCCTTGTAGACCTCATTGGAACGAGCACATTCAGGCTCATCTAAATTAGGGGTTGGCTCTTCTGTTGTAGCCTAGACGTTGACCCCTATTGTTGTAACACCGAGAAACATAGTATCTACCTTCTCCTCGAGCTCCGAGTCAAAGCCAACAAGTCAATTTTTTTATGTATTCAGTAAAACCTACAATTGATAATCTTGATTTCTAAGAATCAGAATTTTAAATAAAGCAATATTTAATGTATGATGTTCTACTTACTGAAATTTTCTCTTGCCACTACTCCTTAGGTGTATCAATTGTTTTCTAATTGAGTCTCATCTTAAACTAGTGGCCCCTCTCTTTAGCTCCTTCCTTAATTTCCAGTCCTTAAGTTTTTCACATTTTGTTTTCCAGTCGAGTTTTGTTGCATAGTCTACTAGTTCTTTCTTAAAAGTGTATTGTTATATTTTGCCAATCTTCTTTATTGAAATGTGCGGTTGATCTATTGCTCTTTTATATCTCTCTTAAACATAAATCACAGAAAATTATCTGTCTCCTTATCTCAAATAGTGGATATCCCACCTTCTTTTTGCTTACCCTTCTGATGTCTAAGTAAGAAAATAAGAAATATATCAACATAATTTAACATGTAAAATAACAACACATGAGCCTAAAACAAAAATATGACAAATAAGAAGTAAAAGTAGAGCTCAGAATCAATTCATAGATATCAAAAATAGCTTCATTGAGTATCACTAATTGTGTTCTCCAAGCATAAAGACAAGTAGTATATGTGTCAAATTTGCATTTTTTCATAATTAATAATTTACTGAACCTTTTGTTATGTTTCTTCCATCATTACTCTACTATACATTTCACAAGAAATATGCAGCGTGCCCAACAAATCTTAACATTTCACAAGAAATATGCAACGTGCCCAACAAATCTTACTCCGAAAGCATCACCGTAAATGGAAACCAAGCATCCAAAAGGTCCACAAAATATCCAAAGTTAAAAGGTCATTTAAATCTCGAGATTCATTTTCGATAGGTTAACAACATCTACTCCGCCTCAATATATCTCAACATGGATAAATATATAAGCATTGCTTTACAGTTTCTCTGAGAAATTTTTTTTTTGAATTGCTTATTCTTCCGTACTCATCAGTGTAGAGTAATATTTGGGGAAAAATGTTGAGCACTGTTTCTTTTTATAGCTACGCTAAGACTTTTAGAAATGAAATTACATATGCTTTGTTGGTCAACCAGTAGAAGCTATGTAATTAAATATATATAAGCATTGCTCATCCGTATCATTTATAAATTTTTGTATACTTGTTTTGCATATGCACATTCTAATGTAAACCCTCATATTAGATGCTAGATAAGATATTGATAACTAGTTTTTTTTTCTATCGCGCTGGCCAAATCGGGTCATCGGGGTAATAATTA